TTTTTTTTTTTTTTTTTTTTTTTTTGCCGTCGTCGGGTAAAGTCATGCAAGGCTTGCTACACGTTTGGGAATCTTTCCCTTTTTTTTGGAAATCTTTCCCTTTTTTTTTTTAAACGGTAGGAATATTTTTTAGATTTTTTTAAGTGAGAAGAATATTATTGAAAATTTTAAAAGTTTAGAAGTATTTTTTAAAATTTTCGTGAATTTGGTCGAATGTTCAATAATTATAATATATTTTTACCTTATTAAACTAGCTTTTTATTAGCTTGTTATTAATAAATAATAATACTTAAAAATAAATAAATAAAACTATAGAAAATGTGTACTCAAAAGCCCTCAGCCTCCAGCAGCCAAATCAGCGACCATCTCTGACATAGTTTTCAGTCACGGTGATGTTGCCAACTTTTCCAAACATTCCGACACAATTCTCATACAGGGTCTCTTCTCAGGGCTCTTCCGAGTGCAAGCAACAGCTATATCAATGGCAGCCGCAGCTTCTTCCTCGTCCACTTCCCCACACATGGACGGATCTATGATACACGATGGCCGTTTCCCCTCATCGATTCCAAGTTGAATCCATTGAACCAGCTCCATCTCCGACGAACCCGCTTGAATCACCGCCATCTTTCCGGTGATAATTTCCAGTAATATCACGCCAAACGAGTAAACATCCCACTTCTGCGATGGCTTTGCCGCCTTCAAGGCTTCAGGGGCTTGATAATAGGACCCTATTGACAGAGAGGAGCACATGGAGTTTGATCGGAACGGAGACCGCCGCGGCGTTGCGGCGGGGGTTCGCTCTGAAGGTGAGGCACTGAGATCTCCGGCGGCATTTGAAAGTCGTCCGAGTCCGAAATCTGAGATGTAAGGTACCATGTTGTTTCCTAGCAGAATGTTGGTCGGCTTCAGGTCGCCGTGGACGTATTTTCTTGGACTGAATTCGTGAAGATATGTCAATCCGTTTGCTACTCCTTTCATGATCTTCACACGATCAGCCCAAGAAAGTGGTCGGAAGTAGGAAATTTCTGCTTTCCCTGCTTGGACATTGGAAAATATCATTAGAAACTGAAGCATTATCAGAAAACACTCTCCAATATCATTAGAAAATGAAATTGTTCCATTTTGTTTAGAAGAGTTTTGAATATTTACCATGAAGTGCAGTGGCCAGGTCTCCATGTGGTATGTATTCATGAATGAGCAGCTTCTCTTCAAGAGACCAGCAGTAAGCTAAAAGAGCTACGATATTGGGATGTCTGACCTTCCCAATTGCTTCAACTTCAGTTTGGAACTCTTTAAACCTTTCATAAGCTCCATCTTCCAACCTTCTTACGGCTAGCTTTACTCCCTTCTCTAGAACCACTTGATACACAATCCCATTCCCATTCTTGCCTAGAAGATAAGCTGAGGCTTTCAAAAGTTGCTCGAGATTGAAGTCGACTTGTCGATCCAGTAACACGAAATTATACTTCTCCATGTTTTCTGGTAGGGTCTCAACATCAAGTTTTGCGAAGCAAGAAAACTCTGTTTTAAACATCAATGCCTCGCTAAAGTTACAGCCATCTACATTTTCACTCCCTTTAGAAGGATAGGCCCTCTTGCACCAAAATACTACCAGGATTACCAGGCAGAAACCAACTATGATACTTGCAGAGCCTGTGATTATGGAGCAAGATTTTCCACCTTTCCCATGTGATGGGCAATGGAACCACGAGTCGTGGTTTGACGTTGGCACCATGAGTGGACATGAAACATTGAGAGGAAGTCCACATAGAAAGGCATTCCCTACGTAAGCTGTTGGACCAAGGTTCTGGAAAGCTTCTTGTGGTGGTATTTGGCCACTGAGATTATTGTAACTTAGATCGATATAAAGGGTTGCAGGGAGGCTGCTTAGGCTTGGAGGGATTGGGCCGGTAAAGACATTGTGAGACAAACCAAGAGTGCCTCGCAAGTGGGACAAGTTGCCAAAGTCTGCAGGGATCCCACCGTTGATGACATTGGAGGAAAGATTGAGATACTGAAGGGATGTCAAATGGGAACCAAACCCATCTGGAATACTGCCATTTAAGACATTTTGTGAGAGATCCAAGCTTTGTAATTCTACCAGCTTGTAGAGCTCAGTTGGGAAGCTTCCGAAAAGACTATTGTTTCGAAGGCTTAAATGACGGAGTGACCCAAGCTTCCCAAGTGCAGGGTGGAGAGTACCAGAGAGTTTCTTGTCTTCAATACTGAGAGAAACAACTCTTTGTTCTGTACAAGTGATTCCATTCCAGGAACACGGGGTTGTATCATAGAAGTTCCAGTTATGGAGGAAGCCTTCGGCATCAAAAGTTGAGTTTCTGAATGAAAGCAGAGCCAATCCCTCTTCATTCAGAGAAGACACAGATGAAAAATGGTTGCTCACAATGAAAACAAAGCAAATCTCCAGTAGAACCATGTTGTGTAGTTATGTTACAATCAGAAAGAGTGCTTCCCTTGAAATAAGTATCAAATGGAAAACAAGAAGGTTCCTAATCAGAAACCAGCAAGTTTTACAGTGGAGAAAGAAAACAAGAGGGCTGCTATGATTTGTGAATTTTAAGGCGGGCCATTTTGGACTGGTCTAAGCGTAATTGGAGGCGAGTCTTGCTGGGCTGATTGTTGATGGAATTTGGCTGGAAATTTTGGGTCAAAATTTGTTTGTAGTGGAAGACGTTGTAAGAAATTGAAAAAGGTTGTTTCGTTTCCACCAGTTGTGGAAATCATGTATAGTTTTGAATGAAGATGTACGGCGGGATTGGTGTGGTTGGGCTGCAAGTCAAAGTGATCCATAGATCTCTTACTATTACATGTATACGTTCATCGTTCTTTGTTTATTTCTTATTTCCTTCTCTCATTTGTAAAAGAACTATATAATCCAAAACAAAATACGAATGTCTTGGATAAATCAACGCGTCTTAACTCAATTCAAACTAACTAATGGATCAAGAAGACAAGAACCTGACTTCTGTGTACGATAATAGGAGAGATCATGAAAGCTGCAGTTAGTGAGTTGGAGCTACAGATCCATGAAGCTGCATAAAGAAAACAACTCAAGGCAGATTTTGGTGTAATCTAATAATCCAAATCTAAAGCTGAATGTGTTCTCCTTCTATGCACATCAAATTATAAAGGGGGAAAAAATCAATCTGAACTCCTCGCTCCCACTGATTGCAGAATAAGTTACCGCTTTGATGGGGCCATGGAGGTTCTGACTGAAACAATCACAATCAGCAGGAACAAGCTTTCAGTCAATTCAAGGGTTCATTTTAGCTTTCTTGCCATTGAAGAATTTGGCAAGATTTTTCACAACCTTCGTTCTGTTCTCCATGGAAAAGGAGTCAATTCCTCCGTTCATCATATGAGGCGATGGTGAGGATGATATTCTGAACTTTAACCGCCTAGATGGAGTCATGCTTCCATTTCTCCTAATGGACTTTTGACGATTCGCTGGTTCCATATTTTCAGCTTCTGTATTCTGCAACTCTCCCTCCACCATTCTTTTTTCGGAAAGTGATCTCTTTGTCCTGTATATCTGTTTCTCTTCTTCCATTATCATCTCCTTGATTTCCATTTCGGCTAATTCACATTTCTTTATTGTTTCAACTTCACTTGCTTTAATGGCTTCAATCCAAGCCTGAGCTGCTGCAACTTTTTTGTCAGCAATTTCTTGTGCTGCAACCGCATGACCAGCTAAGTACTCGTATTCAAAACTAGAGATGGTGATAACAGAGCTATTCTTAGTTGCAGAAGCTCTTAGTCTCATTGTACTTTCTGTTAGTGACTTCAAATTTGCAAGTGTCAAAGCCTCAGAAGACTTCACTATTTCGAGCTCCCGCAAGGCATCTTGCAATCTTTCCTCGTTTAAGTCTATTTCAGATTCAGTCTCTTGGATTTCCGCTTCGGTGTTTTTTATTTCTTGGTCAATAAGCTCCTTTTCTTTCTTTGCAGCCTCCTTTTCTTTCTTCATTTGTTCTATAGTGAGAGACAGATTAGAAGCAATAGTTTTGGCTCTCTCTTCAGCTGAAGATACAGCCTCCAATTTGGTTTTTGCTCTAAGCAGCTTTGAGTTCAGTTTTTGAACAACTAAATCAGTTTTTTCATCAGGTTTCTTCAAATTAGCATTCTCTTCCCTGACACGCTTCAGTTCCCTTCGTACAGCATCCATCGATGTCATGAACTGAAAGCCTTCATCCCGTATTGCGGCCAAATCCTTCTTTGCAGCCTTGAGTTCTTCTGTGATTGATTGCAATAAAAGTTCATCTTCTTCTACCTGAGATTTTGTTTCCATTTCTGTCATCATAACTTTTCTCTGAGCTTTGACGCTTAATTCTTTGACCAACTTTAGTTCCCTCTGCAACACATTCACATCTGACGTTGTGGCGCTCAATTGGTTTTCTAGCTCTTTTAAGCCTTCAACCTCTTGAGCAAGATCATTAATATTCTTCCTCTTGTTTTCAATTGCACATAAGAACTCGTGGGCTTCCACTCTTCTCTGTGCCTCAATCTCTTGAAACTCTTTCAAAGCCTCCATCTGGGCTAACTCAACTAGTACTTGTTCTTCATTTATTTCATCAATCTCCTTCCTTAGCTCTCCAATAGAGCTTGACAAGGAATGAAATTTCGAAATGGCTTCTTCCTTTTCCTTCTCTGCTTGCAATTTCTCCTGAAAAACAGAAGCCACATCAAGTTTGAGTTTGCTTAATTCTTGTTTTGCAACTTCCAGTTCCCGCATCAATTCCTCATACTCATGATTCTCACTGCTTGCAACAGCCAAACGCTGGTCCTGGACTGAACCTGACTTCTTCAACCTTTCGAGTTCCTGTTTATGCGCCTGCGTCGTGGCGTTTGATTTGCCAAACAGGGAAGAGAGCTTTTTCACTGTGCTCTTGGCCTTGAGGAGCTCAAGTTGAGCTTGAGCACTAAAGGAATCTGCCGCATTTCTACTGTTCTTATAATGATCAATGTCTATCTTTGCCTTTTGGAGCTCTCTCGCCTTTAAGGAATACTGCAATTGTAAGAGACATGTTCAGCATGACACTAAACTACTTTCCCTTTTCCAGCAAACTTTTTGTTTTAATTCTAAAAGCATTTGAAATGGTTAGTAAAGTGGATGCATGTGTGTGTAAGCACTGTTATCACAATTCCCTATACAAACACTTTTGGAAGATAATTAGTTAAATACTTCTTTTAAATATCTTTCATCCATTTTTAAAAAACTTTTCAAACTACTTTTAAAGATCGAAAATGTTTAAACAGTACTTTCAAGTAAAGCAATGCCGAATTGAAACTAAACCTACGATCTCTTAAAATGATGCATACCTCTGAGGAGTCTTTGGGGAGTGATTTCTTCCATGAAATGCCATCTCCTTTTCCATCTCCATATTGGTTAATAGCGGCTCTAACTAATCCACCTCTAATTTTGCTGTCAAAATCTCTCCTCTCCATCTCCACCTATTCATTCTCAAGAAACAAAAGTTTCATTCCTGTTTTTCGATTAGAAATCAACTCCAAAACAAATTAAGCTTGTTTCTTCTAATTAAACCAGTGAAACAAATTCATCCAATCCTCGCAGATCCAAAACCAAACACTTCAACAATCCACAGAAAGAAAGAAAAAAAGACGTAAACTAAAAATGGCGATAGGAAACCGCGATGTTACCAGAAATGGATGTACCTGAAAATTGGGAGCAAAAGGCATGGGAATTCTGCTTGTGGTGAGATTGGCCAATGCGTTTAAGTGGAGGACGCCATGGGCAAGAGGAACCACAATGCAACAGATAACAGAGCTGAAGAACGGGGGAAATAAAATCGCCACTACTTTTTCTTTTATTTTCTTTTTTAATTGGTTGTATATATATTTTGAAAAAAAAAAAAAGAATAAATGAAGAAAGGTACGTGGATAAGAATACGAGGCACATATTTTACTAGTCGAAAACCACTTCATTTCCACACCTTTCAACAAAAATTCTTGTATTTTATGTAATCTTTAAAAAAAATATATTAAACGGACAAATAGAATAATTATTTTTTAAATAATCTATCCAATCCAATATGGAGAGAGTGTTGAAGAGTAATATTACTTTTGGTACGAGACGTAGTAATTGAAAAAAGATTATGAATATATAAATAAAAGAGATTATTTTTATTTAAATTAAATTTTTTACAAAACTAAAAGTAAACTCATAAAAATATCATAATATGTTTTTTATATTTTTATAATAAATTATGTGAATAACATGAAAATCAAATAAAGAAAAAATGAAAATGGAGTGAGAAAAGACAAAGGTGAGGGGAAGGACATTTTTGTTGTTGAGCATGATATCATAAATGCAAATTTGTCGGCGGGTCCCTTGCAATAATCCACGACACGGGAAACGCCACGTCCTGCTCTAAAGAACCACACAGTTGACACGCCAGCGAATATTTTCTTTTTTCTTTTTTCTTTTTTATTTAAAAATTAGATAGGTCATGGAGTCTTATTTATGCGTTGGGAAAATAAAATGAGAGGCTCATTTTGTTTCTTTTCAAAACTAAATTACAACTTAAAATTACTATTAATTAGCTACTTAGAATTTACACGTACACCCAAATTTAAGTTAGTTCATTCAAATTTAAATACGTATGACTAACCCAGTTTTATCTGGGCCCTATAAAATGAACTTATAATGTTGAACTCAAATGAAGCTTTGTAACAGTCTTCCTAAACTGAGGTTCAACTTCTTATTTGGAGCTCTTAAGCTAAGTACACACTTTACTCAGATTCTATTGAGATGACTAAATTAAGAACATGTCTCTGATAACATGTTATGAGCCATGAATCTCTACAATGGTATGATATCCTACTCTGAATATAAGCTTACTTATAATACTTATGTGTATTTTAATCCATAGTGTTCCAAATTATTATATTTCTAAAGTTTAAATATTAGAATAAATTATTTAGGAACCAAAAGAAATATTAAAGTGGAGTGACCATGTAACGTCCAAAAAAAAAAAAAAAAAAAAAAAAAAAAAAAAAAAAAAAAAAAAAAAAAAAAAAAAAAAAAAAAAAAAAAAAAA